TATATATATATATATATATTTTATTTTTTTTTTTGAGACAGGGTTTCTCTGTGTATCCCTGGCTGTCCTGGAACTAGCGCTGCAGACCAGGCTGGCCTCGAACTCACCCAAAAGATTTGTTTCTTATTTATGTGTATTCATGTATTTGTGGGGTGGCTGCAGACGCCAGAAGAGGGCATCAGATCCCCTGGAGCTGCAGTTAGAGATGACTGTGAGCTGCGCAACATGGATCCTGGGTTCAAACTCATGTCCTTGAGAAGAGCTGCAAACAATCTTAACTGCAGAACCATCTCTCTAGCCCCTTTTATGTACTTTTTAGTCAGCAAAGTCAGGTTTCATTTTATACATACTTTGTTTTGGTTGACTGTCATCCACTTATTTCTGCAATTCCCACCTCCCCAAAGTGTACCCTCCCACCCCCTTCCAATTTAATGCCTCTATTTCTACCTCTTAAGCTGTTTTTGTATATGTATGGGTGTTTTTTCCTGCATGCATGTCTGGGCATTAAATGCATGTCTGATGCCCTTGGAGGACAAAAGAGGGCGTCAGGTACCCCTGGAGCTAGCTGGAGTTACAAACAATTGAGGGCTACCATGTGTGTACTAGGAATTAAACCAGGGTCCTTTGGAAAAGAAACAAGAGCTTTTCATCACTGGGCCATCTCTCCAGCTCAACTCCTATTTCTTTAAAACCTTTCTCCTCCCATTCATGGTTCCCTTTCTAGGTCCATGACTTATTACCCCCCCCCCCCCCCGCCACACACACACACATTAAAAGAAAGCTATGATCCATATAAGAGACAGTAGTTTTACTTTTTGTCTTGTTTTGAAACAGGATCTTACTCAGTATCCCAGGCTGGCCTTGAACTCAGAGATCCACCTGCCTTTGTCTCCAGAGTGCTGGACTAAAGGTGTGTATCACCATGTTTGGCCTAGTTTTACTCTGAACTACTCCAAAAATAGAAAATATACAAGTTGCTAAATTGCCTCTAAAAAAGTAAGCTATTTGGGCCAACAAGCTGCCTCAGTGAGTGAAAGAGAAGCTGAAGCCAATGGTAAGAGAAGGGACTCCAGAAAGTTGACCTCTATAGATTGCCATTGCACATGCCTGCTCTTCCTGTAACACACACGCACATCATCACTAAATATCAGAAAAAATATTAGGCCCTCATGTTAGCTAAAATTTCAAGAAACCCAAATATTCTTTACAAATATAAATTTCCTCCTTGTTATGAGCTGGGGGACTTCAGCTCCAGGTTCTTTTCGAGTAGTATCTATGAGGACTCTGTGCCCTTCTCCCCAGAGAGTGATGAGTAACCAGACCAAGCAAGAGAATTGTTTTTATAATGATTCTTTACTAGCAACTTCAATATCCAATGCATCAATGGGAGTTACAATCTCAATAGGCATGGGGGATTGATAATGGGCAACACACAGGCACTTCAATATCACAATTATTAATCCTACTAAACTTAATACATAAAACAATTCATAACCTTAATCTAACTTATCACTTATTCACAAAACACTTCTTAACCTTAATACAACTTATCCATTACTTTTTTTTATAAAATTCTTTTTTTTTAAAATATTTATTTATTATGTATACAATATTCTGTCTGCATGTATGCCTGAAAGCCAGAAGAGGGCACCAGATCTCATTACAGATGGTTGTGAGCCACCATGTGGTTGCTGGGAATTGAACTCAGGACCTTTGGAAGAGCAGGTGATGCTCTTAACCTCTGAGCCATCTCTCCAGCCCAACTTATCCATTACTTATCTATAACCTTAATACAACTTATCCATTAATTATCTATAAAACACTCCTTAACCTTAGCTTATTCATTAATTATCTATAAAACGCTTCTTAACCTTAACTTATCCATTAATATTTCCTAATCTTATCAATTATCCATAAAATATCTCTTAACATTTCACACACTAAACTTATGTATTAACACGTCTATGCTTTTCTCTTAACGTTTCATACACACATGAAGTAGCATCATATGACCTGGTATTCCCTGGCTTACAAAGGGCTTTTTGAATTTCTTCAGGCTGGGCTCTTGTCCGCACTGGGGCCTGGGTAGCGAAGATCGACTCTTGACCCCGTAGTCTGCGCTCGGGAGATGATGTTCCAGGCTGGTATCTGGTAGGGCCTTGGACTCGGCTTTTCGGGTGACCGAGTCTCGGGAGACAAGGCTTTTAGTTCTCTACTCTTGAAGATGAGGCTTTGCTCTCGGGATGGCAAAGCGTTCTGAAAGGCAGAGTATCTAGTCTGTTCTCGGGAGACAGACCTTCAATGTCCACTCTCAGGGAAATGAGGATTTGCATTCGGGATGCAAGGCATTAAATGTCTGTTTTCCGGAGACAAAGCTCTGTGCTCAGGAGACAGAGCATTAAATGTTTAGGCAAGGCATTCAATATTGCTGCTTTTCGGGAGGCAGGCTAGGAGGATCTCTCTTTCCACGGAGGCCTGGTGCCAGAGCCATTGTGAGTAGTGAGATAACCGTCCTGCTTCAGCCACCTCTTTTAAGTCAGTTCAAAATTGCCCCTCGTTTGATCCTTCCGATAGCCAGATGTCCTAGGTTATCAGTATCGACTGGCCACAGAAGGGTGGGGGTCCCTCTTGTGTGGCAAGATTATTTCGTTACCACGGTTGCTGGGTGCAGCCCCCACATCTGGCAGGGCCAGATGGGTGTGGCAGCCTTCAAGTGGGCAAATGCTCTCTTAATATTTCATCTTAGTAGTTTTCCATACCACACACAAGAAGAAATGCTTTTACATTACACCAAGTTACATTCATTCTTATTCTATAAATTTCCTGCTCTAACTACACTACAGATTCCCCCTTTTTATTCATTCAGAGGAATCTGCTTCCATGCTCATTACATTACATTACATTACAAACTGATCATTGTATACAGAAAAGATGGGCGGGAACAGCAAAATAGTTACCAATCCAACATGTTTGCGAGCTGTATTTGTAGCATACACACACTATTTTATTATTTATTTATAGACAGGGATTCACTATGTAGCTTAGGCTGACCTCCAAGAACTCTAATTTAATACAATAGTTTCCAAGTACACAGCTTTCTTTGAGGCGCTTCCTCAGAATTCGAGAGTAGTCTTTTTCTCAGTGTTCTTTCATTTGTTTATTCATTCAAGGAATGGGGCGTTTATTGTGCTCTGAGTTGCTGGTGATAGAAATTAGTGCAACCAGCTTGTATGTGTAGAAATACTATCCAGTGTTCAGACTGGTCTCGAATGCACTATGAATCCCGGACTGGCCTACAACTCCTGATCCTCCTGCTGCAGTCTCTGGAGTGTGTTGGGATTGCAGAAACGTCTATGAAAAACTTTTTAAGATTCATTTTTTATTATTTGTTTGTATGTACATATGAGTGCGTGTCTGCAGAGACCAGAAGATGATACCAAACCCCTGGAGCGGGAGTTACAGGCGATTTGAGACATATCAAGTAGGTGCTAGGAACTGAACTCTGGTCCTTAGGAAGAGCAGCAAATGCTCTTAATGGGTGAGGCCTCTTCAGTTCCCGAAAAACTTGAAAATAAAAAAAAGTGCAGTAGTGGAGAGTGAACTTAAAGACTTGAGTGTTTTGGGCAAGTACTTGGCCACCAAACTGTCTTCTCAGTCCTCATGAATAATTATTGAAAAAAAAAAAACCGTGCCAGTGAATCAGTGTTCGTAACTTTCCAGAGGGCCACCTCGTGAACACTTACTGTGATACCGAGAGAAAAAAAGCCTTGCGGCACAACTTCAGAACGCATGTTACCAGCATCACTTTGTAAAGTAGGAAAGACTGGTTCATTTGATAAATTCCAAGAAATAAAAAGCTTCACACTTGGTGTGGCGGATGAAGCTCTGTTGGCAGACTCCTTGAATACCATACACTAATACCCATATACCCTATAAATCCGGAGGCCGGAGACTTAGAAGGGTTAGCCCTTGGCAGTCTACGACGTTTGAGGCTGGCCTGGGCTACAAACTTCCCTGACTCAATGGGGAACACACACACACACACACACACTGCAAAGGCACACACCGCGAACGTGCGCCTACCCTCTCCCCCTCCCGCCTCCCACACGCGCGCCTTCACCCCCCCCCCCACGCCCCAGAGTCAAAACAAGCCACGTCGGATGGAGGGAAAAAAAAACAAAGGAAGTTCAAAAGACTCAGAATTTACAAAAAGATCACTTTTACTTATGATTTTGGAGACAGGGTTGCACGTATCCTAGGCTGACTTGGAATTTACTATGCAGCGAGGATTGCTTTGAATCTCTCGTTCTATCTTTCAAGTACTGGGATGACAGACGTGCACCATCTCCCCGTGCTGGAGATGAATTCCAGGGCTTCCGGCATGTTAGGCAGGGGCTCCACAAATTGAGCCCGGGATGGGGGTGGGGGTGGGAGTGGAGGTGGGGGAGGGCGTGTACTTTTATCCTGAAAACTCAACGGAAACAACGACTGGGTGTAAGCACGGTGTCCAGGCACACAAAGACAGACCGACAGAAAGGTGTCTGGGAACAGCAGTGGCTGAATGGGCCAGACGGATCATTTTTCCTGGGCTGGCAGATTATGCAACATGGCTAAGGGCACCGCGAGCGTGAGGGAGAGGCCCGACAGAAAAGCTTTTGTCAGCAGCATCTCCATCGGGCGTCCCCACCCCCATCCTCGCCCCACCGGTCCGCCATCACCCGCGGCACACCCGGCCTGGGCCCGCCCCTCGCCCCGCCCTTCGAGTCCTCGCTTCACACGGCTACTTTTCGGCTCTTTTTCCGTAGCAACTCCCCTTTCGAGCCCACCCGAAGAAAGGTGCGACTGCCCAGACGCGAGAACAAACAAGCTTTTTTCCCTCTGGCCTGAAGAGATCCAACGTGGCCGATAACTCCGAGCCGGAAGCGGAAGTGACGTCATACTGGCTGCCCTCCCCCTTTTTCTCGGGGCTCCGAGACCTTCTCGGCGCTTGTTCGGGTGCTCTCCTCTCAGCTCGGGGAAAATTCGGTGAGCGGGTGTGGGGTCCGGCACCGGGAGGGAGAAGAATAGGTAGGCCTGGGCGGGAAGGTGGGCCGAGCTGTGCTCGCGGGGCCGCGTGTCCTCCGGGTTCTGCAGCCCTTCCAGGTGCTGCGGCCCGAGTGCACATCACGACGCAGCCCTGAGCTGTTTGCATCCACCTTTCTTCTAAAGCCTGTGCAAAGTAACCTTTGTGGAATTGTTTTCTCTCTCTCCCTCCCCAGAAAGAATAGACTTTCCGCCATTGGCATCACATTTGAGACGCTGCATCTTCCGATCTCGGACGGGGCGATTCTGTCTGCTGCAGCCGAGCTTTGGCCGAAAGGTGGGTGAGGACAACCCTTTCCTCGTTTTTTCTTTTTGCTTTTTTTCCCCCTTTTTTCTTTTGGTGTGTGTGTGTGTTTGTGGAAAGGAATGTTTTATCCAAAAATTTCGCTTTTGTGGGACATCTGTTTACCTGAGACACATTGCATTCTGATTTTAAAAAAAGGTAACTTGCAGGATGCATTTATCTGTATGTAAATACAGACGTACATAGACCCTACACGGGTCTCTTTGTGTCGAAGAAAAGTAAGACTATACCAAGTTACTCTCATTTGATGCTGGAGGTGGAACTCGGGACCTCATGATGCTAAGCTCGCTCCTGCTGAGCTACACCCCAGCCCAAATAGTTAGCTATTGTCTGACCGCTGTAGGCCTGTGCCTCCTTGCAGACTTTAAAAAATGGAGGCTTTGTTAGGTTAGTACTGATTGGCTTTTTCCAAGGAAAAAGAAAACGTTTTATGGTGAACTATTTGAAATAAGTTGAGAATTTCGGGCATGATACTTTGAAAGAATGGGTAATGCATCTTCTAAAAAAATGAAGATATCTACCCAGTAAGACCTTAATAGTTAATGTCTCAACCAATAAGAATAAAAAACAATAAAATCTTCTTTGTGTGAAATCAGAATTTTTTATTGTTATAAAATCGGGTGTTTTTGCATCTAAGATCTCTTCAAAGTTTCTTTGATTTTTGTGAATCTAGGACATTGTGTATGTTGGGTAAGCTCTCTGGCACTGAGCTATAAACCCAGACCTCTCTAAGGCATTTTTCTTGTTGTTTATTTAGTATATTTAAGTTTTAGTTATTTTTTTAAGTTAGATATTTATATATGGGATGTGGGTTTATGCCTTCGAGTGCACTGTCCCAGCGTGGCAGAAAAGGCGTGGGTCCTCGGAGCTGGAGTTCCAGGAGGTTGTGAGACACCTGGTGTGGTGTTGGGAACCAGATTTCAGGTTCTGGAAGAACAGTATGTGCTCATAACCAATAAGTCATTTATGTCTTCAGTTCCCCTCTTCAAGGTTCTTACAATGAAAATTTCAAATGGCTTTTAGAATCTTTGAACCTAGAGCAGTGATGCTGTTCATTATGCTAACTTTTTCAGAAGATGTGTATTTCCCCCCATTTCTCTGTATATTTTGATGGTTTGTTTTTGTAGACATTTTTGTTTGTTTAAAAAATTCTCTAGCTGGCTGGTGGTGATGCACGTGTGCATTTAATCCCAGCACTGGGGAGGCAGAGGAAGGCCTTCCTCTGAGTTCCAGGCCAGCCTGGTCTACAGAGTGAGCTGCAGGACAGGCTCTAAAGCTACAGAGAAACCCTGTCTCGGGGGAAAAAACAACAAAAAAACAAACAAAAAAAGGCAAAAAGTTTTCTCCATTTTAATTTTTTTTTTTTGGTAGACTAATTGATGCTTTGGCTGAGTGAGTGAAGTGGGAAAGCTCTTGCCTAGAATATTTGAGCCTTGGGCTTCATCCTCAGCACTACAAAGGGGAGGGGGGGAGGGAAAGAAATCTAGCCTAAGCTTGTTCTCAAAACCCAGAATAAATGATTTACAAATTGATTAGAATTTTGGAAGTTAATATAGTCTATTGAGTTAATACATCCTATTGGTATATGAGAGTACATAAAAGAATTAAAAGTGAGTGAATGTGTGTGTGCGCGTCTGTGTGTGTGCGCATGCGTCTGTGTGTGTGCGAGAGAGGACCAGAGACAAAAGCCTTGGGGTGGTGCTGAACCCTGGACCTTGGACTTGGTAAGTGCTCTATCACTGAGCTGCACCCCCAGTCTTCTTACTTAAGTTCTTTTTTTTTTTTTTTTTGGTTTTTTGAGACAGGGTTTCTCTGTGGCTTTGGAGTCTGTCCTGGAACTAGCTCTTCTAGACCAGGCTGGTCTACTTAAGTTCTTAAACATCGTTTTACTTTGTCCACATGAGTGCATGTTTGTGCCGTGGTGTGTGAGAGGAGGTCAGAAGACAACCTACCAGAGTCCATTCTTTCCTTCCATTTTGTGGGTCTGGGAATTGAACTCAGGGAACTGTAGACCTTTGGGTTTGGTGGCAAATGCCTTCACACATTCAGTCATCTGTGCTTCTCTTACACCCCCCCCACAATGGTCATGGTTCCATATACCTTTTTACTTGAATATATTCATTGTACAAAATAATGAGTTTCATTGTGACATTTTTTTAAAAAAATATTTATTTATTATGTATACAATATTCTGTCTGTGTGTATGCCTGCAGGCCAGAAGAGGGCACCAGATCTCATTACAGATGGTTGTGAGCCACCATGTGGTTGCTGGGAATTGAACTCAGGACCTTTGGAAGAGCAGGCAATGCTCTTAACCTCTGAGCCATCTCTCCAGCCTTCATTGTGACATTTTAATGCATTCATTTTAATTCATTTAATGTATTTGGATCATATTCATTCCCAACAAGTGAGTTTTAAGTTGAGGCGAGATGATAGGGTGTAGAACTCACCATGTTGAAAGAGAAGGAAGTAGGCGGTAGAGAGCATGGTAGGCAGTGACTAATTATATTCGTGCAGTGCAGGAGAGAGCCTTAAGAGTCAGTCTCAGGCTTGACAATAATTCCACTCGTTTTCTTCGGTGGTACACAAATCTTATCCCAGCAATTGAGTGCCAGAGACAGGCAGGAGGATTGCTACAAGTCTGAGGCCAGTCAAGGCTATATAGTAAGACCCTATCTAAATGAACAAGGGGACTCAGTGGTTGAGAACCCTGGCTGCTCTTGCAGAGGACCCGGGTTTGATTTCTAGCACGCACATGGCAGCTCAAAACCGTCTGTAACTCCAGTTCCAGGAGAATCTAGTGCCCTCTTCTGGCCTTGACGGGCACCAGGCATACAAGTGGTGCACAGATATGCACGCAGGCAAAACACTCATACCTACCTATAAAATAATCACAACAATGAAACAAAACAGGGTAGAAAATTCACCTGTGTTAGTTAAAGGAAATGTTGTTCCTAAACAGTCAAATCCTCTTTGAGTGGTTTTTAGGCTGTCTCAGATTTCCCCTGTCCAAACTAGGACTCAATTTCCCTGGGGGAATGAATGTTCTAGTTCTACTTACAGGAGGAACCAGTCCTGTGTGACTGCTTACAGATACCAACGCGAGTTGGAACCCCTCCAGGGTAAATGACCAGAAAACTCCCCTGCCAGTGTGGTGTAGCTGGAAATATCAAGGGATATTTATACTTTGGCTTGACAATATCCATGTTATTTTCTATATTTGCCATTTAAGGGACAGAATGAAAATGGATGGTGTCAGCTGGGTGCTGGTAGCCTACTCTTTTAATCCCAGCGCTTGGGAGGCAGAGGCAGGTGGATCTCTGTGAGCTTGAGGCCACCCTGGTCTACAGAGTGAGTTTCAGGACAAGCTTCAAAGCTATATACAGAAACCCTGTCTCGAAAAACAAGCAAAAAAAGTTCATGTTGTCAAATGAGTCAAAAAAAAGGAAAACTAGGCCTGGTAGTAAACACCTGTAATCTGAATATTTTGGAGGTGAAGTAGGAGGATCCCGAGTTCTAGCCAGCCTGATTGACATCCTGAGTTCCAGGTAAACCTAGGCTACGTGAGCTCTTGTCTCAGAAAACCCAAACAAACAAATTAGTGAGGCGTTCCTCCCATACAGCTGTAAGGTTGTGCACATTACACTGGTGACAGAATTTAGTGAAGAAGTAATTCCAGCTGTTGGTAGTATCTGCTAAATGTTTGAATATTCTGACCTTATAGTGTTAGTATAAAAGTAAAAACTATTACTTAAATATTACTTAAATGTGAATACTGTTGAAAATATTCACAATTGTTATCTAAAATTGTATTCAGTGAATAACAACTGTGGGAGTTGGGGATAAGGTTCAGCTGACAGGTTGCTTGCCCTGGGTTCGATTTCTAGTTCTGTGTACACTTGACTATAGTATATATTCCTGAAATTCTGGGAGTCAGTAGGTGGAGACAGGATACTCATCTTAAAATTAATTGGAGGAATAAATCAGTGATAGATACCACACACAGATGAGTTTCTTTGACATCTCCTTTTCCTACCCTTGGAATTCAGAACCTTGTGAATGCTGGTCAGGTGCTGTATTACTAAGCTACATTTCTTAACTCCACATAAGAACGCCTGCCTCTGTCAAGTCATGGATTTGACTTGATTAGAAAACACTTGTTTAAAAAAATAAAGAGAATATGTGTATACTTACTTATTAGTGTATTTAACACATCTACTGGCTTAAAATCTCATATGACTGAGTATGATGATGAACACCTGGAAGATAGGCAGGTGCAGTGCGGGGCCAGCCTGAGCTACATAGCAAGTAGCAAAGGTGGAAGGGGAGAGAACTAGTGTTGTACTAAAGCATGTGTTGAAGGAAAACTTGAGGCATACTGCAACAGTCTGTAATGGGGTTGTTCAGCTCTTTTGCGTGTATTTGACATTTTTAATAGTAATTAAACAAGTATATTCTAGCTAAGAAAATAACAAAGGAAGTTGTAACTCTTCCCCAGAGTGAGGACAGTCTCCTGTAGACATGATATCACTATTACAAACCATATTCATTAATCCTCATGTTTAGACACATTCTGAGTGAGTAGTTGTTATTACCCAGAGATTAAATTAGAGCTAGGACTGGTGACTCAGTCCTGTAATCCCAGCTACTGGGAAGTAGGATAAGAAGATTGAAAATTCAAGGCCATCAAGGGTTATAATGTTGAGTTCAATGCCAGCCTAGTCAACTTAGTGAGACTGTTTCAAAATAAGTAAAAAAGAGGGTTGACTCTCAGTGCACATGGAGGCCTTGGGTTCCATCCCCAATATCAGAAATGGCAGTGAGAGCTGAATTAGAAGGTGAACCTGGTAGTGGTAGGACTGTGAGCATGAGGTCAGTGTGGGCTATATAATGAGACTTTGTTTCAAAAGGAGAATAAAACATTTAATCTCCAGTGTTTGCAAAGAAAAATGGAAGAGAGATTGAATGTTTGG